TTTTTTTTTACAACAATTATTAATATAGGTCCATGTTAATTTCTGCATATACTAATACATTTTAACAATTCAGGTTGTATAAATTAACACATTAAAATGAAAATGAAAAGTTTTTTTTTTTACATTAGTTAATGCAATTTGAACTAACAAACAATTAACATTTGTTTTTGTATTAACCTACAATTTATACAAAGACTATTAAATGTTGCTCACTGTTATTTCATGTTAGTTAATACATTAACCAATGTTAACAAATAAGACCTTATTGTGTTACCAAATTAACATTAGTTAATGTATTATGAATTAACAATGAACATTAAACATTTATAACTTCAATTTGTACATTTATAAAATAACATTATACTAGATTATACTGTAAATGGAGATTATCTGCAGAGTGTGAACAATGATTTTTTGTGTACATTATAGTCAGATAAATATTTATATAAATAAATTAAAAGTACAAATATTCCATGTAGTCTCTCAATTAATAAGAACTAAACAGCATGTGTTATGCATGTCACATTGCAAGACATCAACTTTGCCCGATTTGGATCTAAAGTATTTCCACTTAAACTGCCCAAATAACAAAACTCATAATTCACATAAAATGCAGATTCATTTGTAAATAACTTATGTACATCTAAAGACTAGTTTGTCAAAGTATGAGGGAATTTCCTTCAGAAACAATCACTGTACTACCTCATTAATGTTCAAGTCCCAAAATTCAATGTTATGTCGTGTAATTCTTTGCATACTTCAGTACAACAAAAATAACAGCTGCTAAACGTTGCTATGTTCATCAATCAAAATAAAGAATGAAGTGTTCATAAAGCATCAAATAAATATAAATCCCATCTGAACTGGATCCTCCGCTCTACATCTGCAGGGATGACATCACATCCAGGAGTGAGTTACATAACCGTGGCTGTGATATCCATCTCACAGCGCTCCACCAGCACCCAAGGCGCAAACACTCAAATCCATTTCATTTAGGGAAAATAAAATGTCTTTCTCCAGCAAATTACTAATTTGATTTTGGCCATTTGAAAGAGGTGGTAGAATGCATGATTCTGTCCACCAACACTTCATCTCACAGCTTAGTGAAACTGTTTTGCCAAGGGGTTCATGAGAGTGAGCGCATGTATGTTCTGGCTTCACCTAAAGAGCCAGCTAAACATCTCGAGTGCCAAAGCTGATCTCAGTCTTCTAGTCTCTAGTGTTCCAGAACATGCAATGAGAGCAAATCTCATCCCTTGCATCCTCATTAGAGTTGCTGTTCTGCAAAACACCTGAATTCTGAGAGTTTTTAATGGGCCATCTGAGAACTCTAGCGAAGATGAACAATGAACTTCAGGTTTTGCATTCTGAAATACAAGTGTCAGTTTATTCAAATTGATTTCCAATAAGATTATTTGCTAAAACTTCTATGGCCAGTCAGCTGCCAAAAGCAATGCCAAATTGGGGAATGCTGGGATGTGTTGGGGTAGGATTTATGCATTGGATATTTTGTGGCAGTCACCCAGTGGGACATTTTGGGTTGCTGAGGCAAATGTAGTAAGATTACATGCAATTGTCATCTTTGGTTCTGCATTGTGAAATTAATCAACTTTGTGGAATGTTTGAAAGTTCACTCACCCTTCAGGAAATGGCATTAGACACATCGGGCAGCACTCCAGTCCTGATCCAGATGCTGCTCCAGATCCTTCTGCTCCTGATTTTGGTCCCAGTCCTGATCCAGATGTTCCTCTAGATCCTTCTGCTTCTGATTTTGTTCCTAGTCCTGATCCAGATGCTGCTCTAGATCCTTCTGCTTCTGATTTTATTTCCAGTCCTGATCCAGATGTTGCTCCAGATCCTTCTGCTCCTGGTTTTGTTCCCAGCCCTGATCCAGATGCTGCTCTAGATCCTTCTGCTTCTGATTTTGTTCCCAGTCTTGATCCAGATGCTGCTCTAGATCCTTCTGCTTCTGATTTT